CTGAAAATGACAGAATCAGGGAGGTCCCAGAGGTGTCATCTCTTCAGGCATCCCTGTCAAGATGAATCCGCTCTAACCATGTTTTTGCTGAAGACCAAATCCCTAGAAGAGGGTCAGATTGACCAGCTTTGGCTTTTGAGCCTACTCCTTGGCAGGAGAGGGCTGGGCAATTCTGTTGGTCGTATCTAAGGGCAAAGGGATAGGTGGGAGAGTGTTGTTTTACTAAAAAGGAGATGCCATGGATAATGGGCAGATCAAATAGCAAATGAGCATTACAGGTAGGCTCTCCATCACTGGCAAACCTACTCAGAGGGATGACCTGGCATTTAGAGTCAGGACTGGAGGTGGGCTTAGCAATGTAGTACAAAGCCGACACAGTGTGCTGGAGAGCAATTGTTTTGTTATAATATTGGTCACATGCTCATTGAAGAAACTTAGAACTCATAGAACAATCTAGAAATGAGAATTTTTAAAAAGACCATCAATCATCTCACTACGCCGAGATAAGCACAGTTACATGGTGAGGATGTTTCCTTTTTTTCTGTGGATTCTTTCCTACACAATTGAGGTCACACTGCATGCATAACTTAATAGTGAAAGTTTGAGCTCTGTGTATTGATTCAACGCCTGCCAGAGGAAGATCTTTAGACTATCAGTCCAGAGAATGGGCTTGACCTGAAGCTATCACAGCTGATGAGAGAGACAGAGAGCAGCCTCTTTGGTCCCCATTGATGGCCAAGGATCTACCCGGCCCAACCTGGACAGTTGCCATGGTCCGCTGAGAGGAGGTTTCAGCAGGATTCTAGCCATGGTGGAGGGGAATTGCCACGACCTAGTGCTGTGTAAAGAAGGTTCTTAGCCACACATTACAGCCAAAGGAAAATACAGGTGCTTATGTTTCAGTGGAACTGTGATCTTAGATGAGTCCTGTGGGGTCAGCAGGCTCTGATGAATTCTGACGCTGACTTGTAGGTGGGACTAGGCCGCACTCCCCTGATTTCCACAGGAGACAAAGCGTTGGTCCATTCACTCAAAATGATGTCAAGAAAATACTTCTTGAAAAAAAAAAAGAAAATAATTCTGCCTGGACTTCATATCATGATCACACCTCTCAGAATGCCACCTAGGACCATCCCTAATTCACCGCGCCACCCCCCTAAACGTTTGGGAAGGTACATTTTCCAAGTGGCATCAAATAAGGTGCTGTGGGGTGTTGAGCTTGTTGGCTCCCTTCAGGGAGCCATCCTCACAACAAAAGCCTCAGCTGTTGTTGGAAGAGGGGGGAAGGTTCTTCATGATGAAGAACGAGATCCTGAGAAGGGTTGGGAGAACTCTAGTAGAAACACAACCACAGTCAGCTTAATAGTACATCATGTATATACAGACATGTGTACTTGAATTTCTTAACCTGTGTATTTAACCATCTAAAACGCGGAGTGTGCCTGCTTTAACCTTTGCTGGCATTTGCTAAGGGACGACATTTCCCACGAGTTCAGAAGTCTATTACTTACAGCTGGGGAAATAGAGACTGTTCTACCAGGAAGCCTTAGGGAGAGAGGAGGCCATGTTCCTACAAGGAGAGCCTACGCCTCAGAATCGGATGGAATCACTTTCGCAAGACCCCCATTTGTCTCCAATGCTCATTGGAAGAGGATTGTTCCACTTTGCCTTTTACTCATCCATATGATGGGGGGCCATCTAGTCAGCGTAAAATCTTGAAGAAAATTTGTGTTCCTGGCTAAGACACTTCATCTGCACAGAAAAAGCCCTCAGGACTGGGACACACAAAGCTGCTGGGGCCGGCTGGGCCTGCTCTCCAAGCCCTGCTCACTTTGAGTCAGCAAGGTGGGGTCATCAGCATGTCACAGGCTGCTAACCAGCCTCCCTCCAATCCTGTGGCCGCATTCTGCTACATGATAATCCAGGTTCTCTCATTGTTTGCTCAGCAAACAGATTGAATAAGTGTGATGAGAGGACAACCCTGATGCCTGCCTTTCCTGGTTCTTAACCGTGGAGTATTCCTGGTCCTAGTTTCACAACTGCCCATTCCACCCTCATTCTCTTCACTATTGTGGCAAAATTTCTCAGTGTGCCTCTTCTGCTCACCGTCTTTGTAATCCCCACTAAACATGAGTGGGTAGGGTCATGCAAATAGGGTGGAGAGGACTCTAACTCAAGGGTTAATCTATTTTGCCATTCCATTAAGGGTAAGAGTGAGTCATCTCAAGCAGGATGAGAAATCCATATCATTAAGAAAGTAGGAAAAAAAAAAAAGAAAGAAAGCAGGGCCACCAAGAATACGGTGACCAGACATCCGCTTTTGGCAGGACAGTCCCGGTTTTTAACAATTTTTCCCGCATCCCACAGTGTTTTAAAAAAGTCCCGATTTTGGGAAAGAATGCACGACAAGCTAGGGTAGACGGTTTTCGGCTACCATGTGGCTATTTCACCAGGATATGAGTTTTATCAAGGGTGTCCCGCTTTATCAATGTTAAACTCTGGTCACCTTAACCAAGGAGCATGTGTGAAGTGGCCGTGGCACCAGAAGTCACAGTGCAGAGACCACGAGACAGAGCAGAGGAGTCACCCTGAGACTGTGAGGTGGAGAGACAGGCTGCCCAGTCCATGGAAAAGCGGAAGGCTATGAAGTCAGAGGCCAAGGGGTCACATGGCTGAGAGGCTAAGGACCAGAGAGAGAGCGAGCTGTGGCTGAGAGGAGGCACTGCCGTGGACAAATAACTGTTTCCTTTATGTTTTCTGATCCTGACGTGTAGTAACTTGTTAACGTCCCCAACTAAGTCCACATAATCATGAGTATTCTCTCTGAGTTCTGTGTGGCCATTACAACAGATGACAAAACCCCAGCAGAGAAGTGGAGCATCTTGGGAGAAACAGTGTCAGAATAGGATAAAGGCAGCTGGAGGGTGAAGACATGGCGGATTTCTGCCTCAGAGGGATCATCTCGGACAGATGTGGAATTGGAGTCCCCTCCTCCCCGTGAAGGCAGGGTGGTCAGACATGGCCCCCATGCCATTTCCTCAGCTAGTTTCTGTTTCATTCACTCAATCACTCAACAAATAAACGTTAAGCACTGTCTGTGTGCCAAGCATTGTGTTAGACATCTAACGATAAGCAAACATGCACAAGGTCCTTGCTACCATGGAGCTTCCACGCTAGCGGGGGTGGGAGTGGGGTAGCACTGCAAGTGCTCTTCCAAGCGATTCAAAGGGGCGGGGAAAGGCCAAATAGCACTATGAAAACAAGGTGCACAGAGTCGGGGAGTATTTAGTCTGGGAGCAGGGAAGACTTTCCAGAGGAAGAGATGCTTAAAAAGAAGACATAAAGATTGAGTTAGCACTAACTAGGCCAGAGATATGTGGTGAGAAATTGGGTTTTTAGCTGATAGACTAGGGTGGGTTTGGTCTTGAATGAAGTGAGAGGGCTAAGACTTCACGGAAGTGATTGTGGCTGGGGTGTAATAAATTCCACCTACAATGACATGACATGAGACTAAAGATGTAGGCAGGTGCCCCATTCTTTTGTTTTTATACGAATTTTGGTCTTGTTCTCAGAAAACTGAGATGGTTTGGAAGGGTTTAAGTAAGGAAATGGTATGAGGGATGACAGACCTGTGCTTGAATATCTCTTTGGGTGCCCGGAGAAGACTGGTTGGATGGAGCCTGAGCAGCTGTGTAGGAAAAGCCATGCCATTGGACCCGTCTTCCTCTACATCCCTGTGGCCACCCTTGACTTCCACTGCTTCTTCCCTCCAGAAGACGACGCTTCCACTGTTGTCACCCTTACGTTGACCGTTCAATGTGGGACACTCTTAGAATGAACTTTTTGTTTTTCATACAATGATCTTTCAACGTGGCTATCTGACTTAGCTTCCCACTGCTCTTCAAGAAAGGAAAAGAGTGCTTCTTAAATTATACTAAAAGAAGTTCAACCTCCTTAGTCTGATCCATAAGTCCTTGCGAATGTGTCCTTTGTCTCCCTCATGCGTGTCAGATCTAACCACGCCCCCTCAAGTAAAGGCTTAAAGGGGATTTGAGAGCAGCATCGCAGTTTGAGAGCAAAGAACTAGAGGGGTGGCAGTCCCATGAGCTCAGGGTGAAGCTGAGTTTAAGGCTCAGCATACTGCGCCCACTGAGAACACTGACAAAAGTTGGGGTTTCAATCACGTGTCTTCAAGCAGTTGTTACAACATTCAATCAGCAGTTATACAACATACACAACATACTATTTTTACCAATGACCAATCGTTGGGAAGAAGTGGAATTGGGGTGAGGTATCTAAAAGCTTGAAACAAGACCAGAGGTGTCATTGCTGTAAGGTTGTGATGGGGGACAAAGACCCTGACCAAGGAGAGGTTGGAGCTTAAGAGCAAGACCTCTGCCAAAAATTAGTGAGCCTAGGAATCGAGTCCATGCAGTACGTTTGGGTTTTGAAGCCTCCAATGTTCAGTGAGCCTGGAGGGCCAAAGACAAAGATGGGCATGAGGATGGCTTGTTAGGAAAATCGGAGGATGGTTCTTTATAGTCTATCTGCCTCGAGCCTGAAGGAGTTCTAGAAGATGAGAGAAAGACTCGAGTCTTAAAGACACTCAGACCAGGGGCAGAGCCATGAGGGCATAGAGGCAGGCACCCCTTCCATGGCCCATATAAAGATCAACAAACCCACAGACATGGCCAGGACTGGTCCTGAGAGCATGCATAAGACATAAGCATTAAAAGTTAGCACCTTGAGCCCCAAAGAGATGTGCTGCCTTGGAGAGACCAACTTAAAGGTAAATACGATCTCAACATGAGTGTGGCTCTGGGAGGAGCTGCGCAGCTACAGGAAGGGCTCTGGGGACCATGACTGTTTACTGCTCTCATGGTAACCTGAGGACTATGACATACATACAGGGCGGTGAGGTCATAGAACACCAGCTTTAAAAGAAATAAGTCAGGAGCCCTTCATTTAATTTTAAAAGAAACTTCTGAGAAGAGCTTAGAACAATTTTTTTCTCCTGAGTGCCATTTTCCCAGGGTACTCACCGAACACTCGGGTGTGACTGTAATGGCTGCACTGAGCTGTCTCTTGGACAGTGTTAGAAGGGACATTAAGAAGGTGGACAGAGAACTGAGGCAATTGAGGTGCATCGACGAAATTAGCTCTCGATGCCTGTGCGACTTGTACATGCACCCGTATTGCTGTTGCGACTTGCACCCATATCCGTACTGCATGTGCTATTCAAAGCGATCACGTTCGTGTGGCCTGTGCGATGTCTATCCGTGTTGCCTGTGTGATTACAAGCTGTACTGTCTTCGACCATCTCTCAGAAGTTTGGAGAGGAAAGCCATTAGAGCCATAGAGGATGAAAAGAGAGAACTCGCCAAGTAACTGAACTTCCTTTTCGATCTTTATAGTTTGTATGTTAGCCTTGTAAGTTGGGATAAGGGGGGATGTTGGCAATCAATACTTGAACAAGACGGAAAGGGGTTCAGCATAATGACTCTGGTGACTTAGGACAGATTTAAGGAAAGAAGTGTAAATGGGTCCGTGATGGGAACTGTAGGATTCTCAAAAGACACTGTAATGATGTCGATTGGCAAGGTTGTGGGTGGTTTATAACAGGAATGCCAGCATGATAAATAATGTGGCTTTAATGAGGGAAAGAAACAGGAGGTGTCATTAAAAAGCGATTGGAAGCAGCAAACTAAACATTTTTCCTGGTTATGAGTAAAGTGAATTGAGTAGATTTGGCCTTACAGAAATGACTCCAGGAAAAGTAATAATAATTGATCAAGTCCTTAATGTTTGCCAGAGGCACTAAAAGCAGGGGAGAAAATTGAACAATAGAGGCATTTCCTAGGCTTTGTAGGAAAACCTTTCTCCCTTCCCCCGACTCCAGACAAAGCCTTCAAGCTCATTTGGAGTTGAGTCTATTCTATGGACAGACTCATTCAATTCCAGTAAAGGCCACACGGCTACAGAACTGGGAGGAGCAACTTTCGGAGTAGACTTGAAAAGGTTTTCACTAAACTAAGTAATTTAAAAGCCATTTAGCATTTTTTTTTTGTTTTGTTTTGTTTGGGTTGCATTTTCTTTTTGCCTGGACAAAGTCTTTCTCTTGTGTTTACGCATGCCATTACTATCACTGTTGGGAGAAAAGATGGTTGAAAGCCCTGTCCCTTGGTTGGACAAACTATGGTACAAGCAAGCTTTGGGATGATCTGTAAGTCTAAAAGGGATTGACAAACTTTTTTACATATAGGTGTATTAAGTGAAAAAAGCAAAGTGCAAACCTATGTGTTTGATATGGTAATATTTTTACAGGAGGGCATATTTAGATGATGGGCAGATGGATAGATACATAGACAGACAGGTGGACAGGTAAGGATATTTCCTTGACAACTGCCAAACAGTGACAGGGATATTCATTGCCAAGGGTAAGAATGCAATGAATTGTCCAGCTCACCAGCCGCCAAAGGTAAAGAATAGGTCCCTTTCAAAAGTGTATGGCGACGCATTCACCTGCAAATTCATCTACACCAGTGGTTCTCACCTTCCCAATGCTGCGACACTTTCATACAGCTCCTCATGTGGTGGTACCCCCCAACCAGAACATTACTTTCGTTGCTACTTCATCACTGTCATTTTGCTACGGTTATGAATCGGGCAACCCCTGTGAAAGGGTTATTCAACCCCTAAAGGGGTGGAGAACCACAGGTTGAGAACTGCTGGTCTTTGAACCAATTACATTTTTTTTTCTTTTTTAACATTTTATTAGGGGCTCATACAACTGTTATCCCAATCCATACGCACATCAATTGTGTAAAGCGCATTTGTACATCGTTTCTCAAAACATTTTCTCTCCATTTAAACCCCCGACATTAGGTCCTCATTTTTCTCCTCCCTCCCCGGAACCAATTACATTTGTACTCCTTAAGAATATCAAGTTACAATGAGTACAAGAGAAGAAAATGTTCTAGAATCGACCGTGGTTAGGATTCTACAGCTCTTCTTGATATGATGGAACTATTGAATTGTATGAAATGTGGATTGTGTGCCAATAATACTGCTAAAGAAAAAAACAAAAGTATCAAGTTATAGAATTCGCTCACACTGTGAAGCAGAGATTCTTTGTTATAGAGGTTCTTTTTTTTAAGAACTGCTCCAAATAGAATGCTTGCTTGTGAGCAGGCCCAACTGCTTTTGAATATTGAAGACTCTTTTTTTTTTTTTAAATTAGAAGATTTTTTTTTTTTTGGTGAAAAGATACCCTACACCCATCAAGCATTCTTCACATAACACTGTTCATTGACAATGATTACCTGCTTTACCTGGTATCACGATTCTCCCTGTCGCTGCCCCTATTGCTTAAGCACTACTAACTTACGGTGCTTTAAAATTCTCATCTGTGTCTCAGAGCTACTGTTGGCCAGTTCATCTCCTATAGATAATTCTTTTAAAGAGTGCAATGCCCAAGGTAAGCATTTTTGATTGAGCTAAATTATTGCTTAGTTGAAAGACGATTTCATGGGAAAGTTTGAGTTCAAGGTTTAAAAGTTATTTCCAGATTTGAGGTCTCTTGGAGTGTCAGTGTGTCCAGTAAGTCTGCTTTCCAACAATAAGCTGAAGTTCTGTTCTGCATGTTTTACTCCTTTTGATCATGAACCAGCTACTGGGTTCTTGATCAAAATGCTCAGTAATGGCAGCTGGGTACCATCCATTTCTTTTGTCTCATGGCAGAGGAGATGGTAGTTTGTGGAGGTATGGGGTACTCTTGATCCAAGATCCTTCCAGCTTTTGTCTCTTGGCTATGAGCCTCTTCCCAGATTCTCCTGGGGAAGTTACCGTGCCTCCTTTGCCCTCTGGGCTCTCTCCTCCATCTCCAGAAGGTCCTTTCTTGGGATGCAATAGACACACTTTCACGTTTCATTCTCACCAGTATGTGTAGACAATAGTAATGCTTTCTTTATAGTCTGTCATCCTTTTGCTCTCAGGCTTCAATGATTTTTCCTTCCTCTGTGCCTGGAGCAGTACGGGAAACGGTGATGTCTGTACAGTGATCCCCAGAGCTCTCAGGGATGATTCTGAGCCAGGGGCGGATTACCCATCTTTATGGAGGTGATGAACCCCATAGGAGACTGTCCACTACGGATTCGTGAGTAAGCAGAAACAGGGCCGGGTTTTACTTGGATGACTGTGTAGACTGTCCCTGTCAGGGATTGTAAATTAGATCAGAGGCTTTGATTCTGTAGGAAGGTGCTGTGGAGTTGGGGAGAGACAGACAGACGAGAGCCACACCTAGAAGCAGAGTCTTTGGTGCGGAGGGAAAAGTGAGCCGGCTCACTGCCGACCAGGAGGTGAGCTCAAGCAAGCCTGTGCCAAGCTTGTGGACGGGCGGTCCTGCCCTCCTCGGAGTCCACTGCAGAAAAGAGCCCAGGCTTGGTCTCTGGTAGCTCCTCAGAGACGCTCCTCTGCCCAGTCTCATTGCCTTGTGATAGATACCCTCTCATCATGTACCTCTGACACCTTGATATTTCACTATTGATGAAGGCTTAGGGTCACCTACAAGCCCTATTCTATTCAAGTTTACTGAATAGGGATGGAAATATTGAACCCTGATCCCAGGCCCCCCCCACCAAATTCCCAACGCTAATCTTTTTCATCCGAAGTCTCTCTTACCCTCCCTTATCTCTAAGTCAGCTCTCGGTTCCATAACTAACCAGACCCTGACATATCATGTTGATTCAAATGTTTTCAAAGTAGTCTTTGAGGAGGAACTTTGAGGTTAGAAAGCAGGTTCAACTGGACTTTCGCTGCTTCAAAGAATGGCGGCCATGCAGTGGTTCAGCACTGGGCTGCTGACCTCAAGGTAGGTAGTTCGAAACCACTAGTGGCTCTGTGGAGACCAAAAACCCCGGGCTCTCTGCTCATGTCAAAAATTACCAGCTCAGCAATCTACAGGGACAGTTCTACCCTGTCCTCTAGGACCACTGCGAGTCGGCATCACCTTGATGACAGTGAGTGAGTGAGCGGTTCGACTGCGCGAGAAACACGAGGCTTTCTAGTCCCATAAGAACAATGGACCGACAGTTCTGGGGGTGGGGGAGCGGGGGTCATGGGAGATGGGGAGGTGGGGGTAAGGAAGTGGGTGTTAACAAACCCAGGGAAAAGGGAACACCAAGTGATCCAAAATCGATGGTGTGGAGGGTGTAGGAGTCCTGGTAGGACTTGATCAAGGGCAATGTAACCGAGAGGAATTACTGAAACCCAAATGAAAGCTGAGCATGATAGTGGGACAAGAGGAAAGTAGGAAATAGAGGAAGGAACTAGGAGGCAAAGGGCATTTATAGAGGTCTAAATACAGGCATGTACATGTGTAAATATACTTATATGATGATGGGGAAATAGATCTATGGGTATATATTTATAGGCTTAATACTACCCAAGTACTCCCTCAATGCAAGAACACTTTGTTC